ATTATGTTTGTGTTTCAATAGTCTTGACTTGAGATAGTCTTACTATGTAGGTTGATTATGCGGCAGTAGTTGCGATGGTGTTATAATAGAATATGAAATGCTGACAATACATGTACATGTGCATCTAAATGTACCTGGAAAGTAGACTAGGTTGTGCCGACTAAATAAAATTGTAACTCACTGAGCAGACTTTGTAGTTTTTATTTTGAATTATAGTGCGGAAGGAGCTACTTCCTGCACTTGGCGATTGGAAATGCAATATGTGCACGGACATCAATGACTGCTTTTGAGGTTGGAAGAAAAGGGAAGATTGGGTGGGGAAAACAGGGTTATTTTATAATTTGAACATGGTTGTTCATACTTGGACAAGGGCTTTTGCTATGCCGTGCTAACTAGAGGTGATGATGTACGTGTACCCAAAAGCACCATTTACATGCACTATGTGATTGCACTGATTAATAGATTGTCTCTCACTCTCTTTTCTCTCTCCCCCTCCCCCTCTCTCTCTCTCTCTCTCTCTCTCTCTCACTCTTTTTTTTTCTCCCCCCCCCCCCTCTTTTCCCCACTTCTCACTCTCTATCTCCCTCCGTCTTATTCGTAATTGCGTCTTGAAGAAACTATGCCAGCTGAGCTAATTGAGAAAAAAAACACAGTCGGCACCGTCCAGCAACGGTCAGCATTTACGCAAATGTGAGGGAACTCCCAGTTCCATGTATGCTGTAAATGCTGTCATTTTTTGTGCTGAGCGACCCCAAAACATATTCGCAGGTTCTTAAATTCGCGTTGCACGCAATTCAGCCATTTAGAACACGCTTAAGAAGTCATGCTAATATTTTCTCGAGTTCTAAAATTTGTGCTTGCCGATCTTAGCGTTAAATCCGCGAAAATTGATGTACCCCAAATATTTCTGCGTTTACAGTATGCAAGGCAACAAACGCATCTTACGTACGTTAGTGTAAAGGAGGGAGCAGGGTGTGAGTGTAATTCTTGCTCAAGTAAACTACATGTAAAGGCATCCATTGCATATGGATGAGAATGAGACTGAAACCATACATGTAGGCCCCACCCATGCTAATTGCCATGGGTAAAACTTGGCAGGCATTGAATGTACATGTATATGACAGTGTATGGAGGAGGTTTGCATAAATAATAGATGGGTAGTAAAGCAGTTAATTGATTAAAATACATGTGCAAGATATATGTCTACGTGAAAAATAGATATTGTAGTTCCAACTAAATGTTACTTGTACACTATCAACTGAGAATAAGTCAGTTTGGAACTGGTTTGAAGTCGGTATGACCATGTGACTAAGGTATTACATTAATACATGTATATTTTATTAATTTTGTATTAAAAAAATCATAATAATATCTACATGAATCATATTTAGTAGATATCCTTTGCTGGAATTCTATATTTATCCTACCCTTTCAACAAGTTGAGTCTTGAAAAGAGCACTGTTCTTCTGCTTGTATTCGTGTATGTACATAAAATCTAGATCAAACATACTGTGAGAACAAGCTAGGATCAGATGTTTGTACATATATTGATCAATCATATTGAATGATGAAACATCCAGGGTTCTCTCATTGTGCATGTTTACCGTACGGTCGGTTTGTAGAATTACCAAGCAAATCTTAACCCACTGGATATGATAATGATATATCATATATCTTTTCCATACCCCACCCTGAGTTAAATCTCATGCTTCATACATGTAGTATTCATTGGCTTTATCTAGAATCACATCCCTGGATCAACCTTGAATTTGTCCCAGGGAAATGTTCCCGAGAGCTCTTTCATTTCATTTCACTTCAGTGCCTGCCCGTCCATATTTCCACATATATATACATGTACATGTATATATATATTATAATGATCTGCAGATCCATTTAGATGATTAATTTTATGTAAGTAGGATGCTTGACTTCGATGAAATAATTGCAAAAAAAATGTCGGTGACCATTTATATGTTTTGTTGTTTGTACGATCTATTACTGAAAGTTGATTTGAAGAGACAAGATGTGGGGTGATTCTCATCTTCATTCTGGGAGCATTTCTTAGGCTTTGCATCTCAGCTCTCTCTTTCCCTAGACCTTGTCTCTCTTTCTCTTTTACACTAGTATCTTTCAGAGCGCTAGGCTTGTTTTTCTTTAGTGGGCGGAGAACAAAATTTTAGAGGGTAACATATAAGCTTTATCTCCTATTTCACACTCTGAAATGAAGAGGGGGGGGGGGGGTCAATTTCAGGGGAGGGGATTCCATGTGTATCGCCGCCCCTAATTGTAATAGCAACAAGCCTTGCATACTTAATTTTTTTCTGCACTTACGCTGCCCCTTCTTGATGTTGCGTGCCTCATTTTGAGACAAATATGAAGGAGAGACATTTTTGTTTTCTGTGGGTCTCTAGTGAAATTGTAGGGGTACATACATGTAAGCACCGTCCCCTACACTCCAGTATGGAGGGCAGGGGGAGGGGGGCTGAAAATTCAAGGAAGGGGGTCTTTGTGCACTGCAGCCCCTAGCTAGTAGCACCGAGCCTTGCGTGCTTGATTTTTCTGCACTTCAACTGCCTCTACTTGATGCTGCGTGCCTCGATTATTGGACAATAGTTGAAGGAGAAAGAGAGACCTACATTGTTGAGTATCACACATCTGAAGGCTGCTTAGCTGCCTGCCTGCCTTCCTGGGACTGCGGGAAGGTAGAAGGCCACGAGGGGAAAATGATGTTATCGTTTGTCAGCTCGGTCAAGGAGCCTAGTTATTGCTATTATACAGTACCTCACCTTCCAGTGTATGAACACCCTTTCGGCCTGCCTTGTAACAAGCTAGATTCATAATGCCTTTCAACCACTGTAAATGTAAACAAGGCTTATGTTGAATTTGTACACTGTATGTATTGATCAAGTACATTTCAATTCGATTCAGTAATGGTTATAATTTTAACTACAGTACATGTAAGCCTTGATAGCAGTCGTACGCTGGATTTTCTGTGTTGATACAATTTCCATTTCCATTTTCATATTCAAAGTTTAATTGTCGTGCAGATAATAGAAATAGAAAACTAACATGTAAATGATTGTTACACATTGTACATGAATCATTCACTATAACATTTATAAAAACGGTGGGATCATATTTTCTGAATCTTTCACTTAATGACTATCAATTCCAATTCCTCTTTTTAAAACAAAGCAAACAAAGCAAACAAAGAAAGCAAGGACATTTATCTGTTTGCATGTTGATCTGATATTCCAGTGTGACATTTTTGGCACATTCAGAGTAAACAACAAAGTATTTCAAGTGCATCAATGCATGAAAAAGTCCTATTGTCTCATGTAGAGAGAGTATTCTCTTAGCCGCAATTCAACAACATGCACATTTGTTGACCTGAAGTTCAGGGTTAAAGCATAAATCAGAGTCTTTTGACATTTACTGCATACACAAAGGATGATTTATCTTGGCACAAGAGTTGATTACAGTAATGTAGACCTACATTCTTCATGTACACGTATGTGTTGTAAATTACAATATTGTGTACTTGAACATGACAAAGATCTTCTTTCATCTATCTGTAACTGCCTTTGGGTGTTGTTGTTTTGGAGCTAAAAAGGTGTATTGCTTACACTACAATATATATACAGTTCTCTTTTGGCTCATAACAGACAATATACTGTACATTGATAATCTTGTGTCTCTGAAAAGATGTTGGCTGTTTCTGAACAAGTGCGTTGCATTTATTAAGTGACTTGATTGTGTAATCTAGAGTGGGAAGGAGGACCATTGTGTTTGGTACTTTCATTAGAAAATACAAATTAGCAGAAGAGCAAATATGTACAGTGAAACAGGAGTTCTGTGGAGGAGAATCTTATTGGTAGCCTAAAGGAAATTTAATCAAAATATGTTAAATATAGCTTTGTATTGTTCCATTATTCCATCCTTGATTTCTGATGAATTTGATCGTGCATGGCTTTACGGGGCAATATGCTAGGATCTCCCAGCGATTTGAAGAGGAAAATCCTGATTGAATCAAAAGAAAATATCCTAGCAGGCGAAATGTGTACTTTCATGTAAATCTTGTCATTTTAAAGACTGAAACATACCTGGCTATAGACATGTACTGAGCATGTACATGAAGGTCTCAAAGTGTACAATCTCTCTGTCCAAGCCACTTTCTGAGGCAACCCATCTATGCTACATGTACCGGTACCTGTACCTGTGTATCATTCGGTGATTATATACATGTACATGGAGAACCAAGCGAGGGTGTCCTAGACAGGAAGTTGGCTCTTGTTTTTATAGGTGAATTGATGCATGTGAAAGGTTTCACCGACAGACCTTGCATTTCCATGGCAACATAAGTTCCCTTGGTGACTCTCTTGCTGCATGTTAATGTACATCACAGAGAGTAAGGATGCTCAAAGTGGATGGGATATGTAGGGAGAGACAGAGAGAGAGATGGGGAGAAAGAAAGAGAGGGATAGAGAGAGAAAAAGAGAAAGAAGAGAAGAGAGGGAGAGAGGAGAAGTGGAGAGAGATAAAAAGGTGAGAAAAGAGGGGGTGAGGGAGAGAGACAGAGATGGAGAAAAGAAAAAGGGTCAAGAGAAAAGAAAAGAGAGAGAGAGAGAGAGAGAGACGAGAAGAGAGAGAGAGAGGAAGAATGATGGCTAATCGAGAGGGAGTACACAATTTATTTAATAATGTTTTTAATGCCTCTCTTCATGAAGACTTATTACTCATAAAACATTTCATTACACAATTGACTCTAATATATGCATTAAGTACTGAAATATGACCTTGTGGAATATGTTTTAATGCATTTTTGATGGTACAATTACCACCTTAATGTGGTTAATGATTTATCATATCTTATTGCTGGTCACTATTACAATTACCTGTCGTTTTAATATTGCATGTACCAGTACATTTCATCAATGACTATGCCAGATAAATGATTTATATTTGTCTCCTTTCTTTTTTAAAACTCTTTTTATATGCAGATAGATGAATTACAAGCTTAATGTATGAATTCTGGGAGATGCGCAGTTTGACACTTTCAAGGTAAGTTTTTTACTGCCAATTTTTTTCCTTCATTTTCATGCAAAATAGGCAATATTCTGCACTAGATCTTCCATGTTGGCTTGCTTTCAGTCTTGGATTATGTAGTCCATATTACATTTGAACTCTCTCTCTCTTGTGAGCCCATGCTTTTAATCATTTGAAAGGAGATAATGCTTATTATATAAATGAACCAATGAGTCATCTACCATAATTAGTGATAGAACAATCATCTTTTAGCAACATAATTGATATTACTTCATGCTTTATGAGTAAGCCTTGAACGGAAGTACCATTAATGATTGAAATTATAGAAGAAAACAAATTGATGAAAACATGTCTGATGTTGACACCAAATAAACATTCATCCAAACTATATAATGAAAAATTGCTTGTGTACTTGTGGTGTGAAAATAGTATTATGATTATGATATCTTTGATATGTATTTAGAGGTTTCATTTCAAATTTGCTGGCTTCTAAAGTCGCACTGATAAAAATCCATGTTGACGACTTCCCGGTCTAAAATTTCTTGCCTTCTAAATTACCTGTTGATGGATAGCTGTAATCACGCGAACCCTGGGTAAATCAGAGTCGTCGCCTTCAAACCCCTTGTTACCCTTCAGTCAACGCCCTTTGATTCCTGCATGAAGAAGTCCTCGTACGGCATCAGCAGGGTTAATATTCCACCTCTATTTCCTCTGGGGTTGAGGGTCGTTATTATCAATCAACAATTAAGTTGGTTAGGGGAGGCATTGTCAAGGGCCATGATTGGATATTCACGTAACTAAGTACCCATCAGTATTTTGCGCGACTTTTTTTTTGCGCTGTTCTTCAGTTAATGTCTACTGTTTATGTCTAATCGTTGAATTTTTCAGGCATGGTTTTCTATTTTTTTAAATTTTGTTAATCTGTGTGGCAGTCATTCATCTGCAAGTGGTAATTAGTGAAGAAATGTTTAATAGCAAGTGTGGCATGGTTTTTCTTTGATAAAAGTGCACAAAATGAGCATTACTGATGATGTTGTTGGCTATAAAGACAAGTACAGACTAAGAGGAAATGAGGGGAGGGGGGTGGGGATTATTTCACAAACCATTAATGATCTACTTTGATATTAAGCTGCCCGATGATGTATGCTATTAATAATTGATAAGAATCAAAGATTGAAAAGATAAGGCTGTATTCAAACGTACACGTATTCGGAAGGAAGACACTTGGGAGATTGTGATGACCTGATCAAAACCGACATGTATTAATTACTTCCTGCCGGTATACCAAGTCATATAGAAAGAGGAAGAGACAGAGATAGTGAGACAGAGATAGATAGATAGAGAGAGAGACAGAGAGAGATAGAGAAAGAGGTCTAGACAGAGAGGGTCAGAGAGGAACAGAGAAACAGAAATTTAGAGCAATTCAGTTTTGTAGGCCGTACCAGGCTATACAGTACATAGAACAAAAGCCAGATTTAGATAGTGGAAGCTTTCTGTCGGAAGTCGATGTAGATTCAACCCTGAGGGCAAAAATATAAAGAACACAAAAAGATAAAACATCCGCACAATTTTTTTTTATCTCCATCCAGGTATTCAATGTGTGTTTAGAGTGAGAGGGGGTTTCACTGATACAGGTACTTTAAAATGTCCTACAAGCTCTTGTGGTGTGCAGGGAAGAAATGCACAAATGAATAAATTGATGATGGATGTACATGTACTGTATGCTATTTATAATATTTCAAGAGAAACGCATTTCAAAGTTATAATAACCTTCTTTGATTACATCGTTCATTTCAGTGTGTATGTTGTCAAAATTGTGTACAGCGATGTGTTATGTTGGCATTCAAAACTTTAAAAACTTGACAAAAATGTAATTTTACGTCCTTTTCCTAAGGAATCGAATTGTAGACAAAGTCCTGCAATATGTGTACAGTACACTTTACATCCATGTACATGTAAATGACCATAACCTCTCACAAATCTGTGCCATCGTGAGCTGGACCAAAGAGAAAACATACTCTGTGAATGTAATTACCCCTCTAGTTCAGCTAGTCATTAGATCATTCACGTCACTAGGGGGACTCATCCTCCTCATCTCATGCGTCATGCAGAAAGAAAAAAAATAAAAGTCACTCCCTCCCACCGTTGCCTTAGTAACTGCTCTTAAAGGGTGGGTGGGGCTTGATGTTTAGCACTGAACTGTCAATATATTGAAGAATTGATTCACGAGTGCCATAAGGAGTTAAAATCCATCTGGACTACAAAATGTTTACAAATTAAAACTCACTCCCTCCCCATCATTGCCTAAGTAACTCTGCTCTTAAAGGCATCGTCTACCAATGTTGAATCTGAGATGCATGGCCCTATGTGTTATAAGTGTCTGATATGGTGTAATATTGAAGCCCTAAAAAAATTGCGCTTCAAAATGATCATGAAGTGCCTCAAAAAAGTATAAATCTTGGAGTGACCAGTTTTACCATACTCATTCTCCTTGATAGACTGTAGTGTTATAAAAACCGTTGGGAAAAAGGTTTTGAAATTTCGATTTCCAATCATAAATATCATGATAATCAGACGGGCCATATGCTTGTAAACGTCATGGGATTCCTTACTGACATAAAGGTTCATAATTATGATGGCAGCATGAGCTAAATCCAGGATTTTGTTTAGAATATGAGACCAAGATACCCAATCACTTTAAGTGCTTGTCTGATAAATCAGGGTCCCATCTTTTCAAGAGTTACGATTGATTAAAATTGATCGCAACTTGATATTAATCACAACTCTGTTCTAAAAAGATTTTGTAAGTTTGCAATTAATTGAAGGGCTTAAGATTGATATCGATCGGTTGTGACTCTGTGTTAGATAGGGCCTGAAGTTTCAGTTTTTAGTGTTTATTTTGGAATTAAATAGATGGATAAAAACCTTGCATGTTCATGTACAGTACATACTGTGTTGCAAAGATGTGCTAATCCTTTATAAATGTGTGATCAAGGAGAAAAAAAACCAAAACATGATAAAGAAGATGAACAGATTGAGCAAACTTTCTTGCTCTTAATCAAAATCTGAAGGCTATACGTACATCGAGATCATATTCCATCATTCTTTTTGTCCGAAATCCTGCATGTACCAATAAATGTTCTGTTGGAGGAAATTTGCAACATATCTTGACTGAATAGGACTGTATCGTATTGCAATAATCTCACTAGGTGAAGAATATCTCTGTTATTATCTTTGTCTCACTAGCAGAATTTTGATAAAAAATGATCAATGTTGCATCTGCAAGTTGATATATTCGCACCTGTATTTGAGACTGTAATTATAGTGTTTATACAGCCACTGTTACAGAATTATTTCATGAAATCCATTCTGGATTTGACATTGTGGTCCTTTAATACATACAGGACCCGATTGTTTGAGTGTAAACAGGCAGTCGTCTCATTGCCAAAACGGACGCTAAGGCAACGTTATTTCAAATGTAGCAAATTTCCTCACCATCGATGATGGATTAGCATGTGACAAGACATCCGTCATCACTCCACACTCGCATCTGATCACGTTCTGATTATCGTTTTACCAACATCTCTCCACACTTACATCTGATTACAGTTAGAGCATCTTTTTACTGTCATAGTGCCACACTCACACCTTTTTACAATCATCACTTCCCACTTGCATCTGCTTACGTTTAGATTAACGTTTTAGCATCATGATTTCAGATGGCTATCAGATCACGTTTAGACCATCGTTTCACCTCAATCGCTCCACATTTACATCTCGTCCTGCTTGGGGCATCTTTTCGCCATTATTGCTTCACATTTACATTTACATTCGATTACATTCAGAGCATTGTTCTAACTTGTGTTCTCACAATAAAGCAGCAACATCACGCCAGCGATGGAAAGTTTTCGTTTGAACTCACAAGCACTCTTCTGATTTTTGTCTTAAGAAAATGTGATCATGTATGGACGACGTTGTTGAGTTTGGGTGCAGTGGTGTATATAAGCACTCAATTATCATTGATGATTTGAATAGGAGGGCTAATTGACTGGTAACCCGCTCGTTCTTTTGTTTATTAGCTGTAGGAGCCCTCATTGTTTCCGATAACAGCATTGTCAGAGAAAGGTTAACATTTCCCAGGGACCTCATACCCTGTCCGTATAACTTGACAAGGCTCATTTGGTTATCAGTTTTTAGCGAGATAATGAACGAAGAGGCAGAGGCTAGAGGAGTCTAAAAAGCAGGGCACATCCTGTGTAGAATGTTCTATTTACAAGGTATAGAATAAATAAGGAAAGGGAAAGGAATAGCCACTGAATGTAAAATATACACATCATTTTCAAAAGTAAAATAATCGTAAATGAGAAGCTTAGGGAGAATCTTAAGAGTAGTGTTTGTCAACAAATCTATCTGATACTCTCTCAATGCTTTTTAATTTGTTGTAATTGATAATGGCAGTGGATGTAGGAAGATTTAGGAATCTCAACTGAACGATTTAGTAACGTATAGAATGCTTTATGGGAAACCCTCTAAAGCTCTATGGCAACATAAGAATATGATTCTTGAGCGCAAAATGCCTTGATGAAATAATATTTTGCACATAGGAAGTGCACCTGGAATTTAAGTGGTTATTTGATATATTTATGATCAATCATTTTAATGGTACTGATCATCATAAAAGTGCTACTGGGGACTTCTTTAGCACTGCTCAAGGTACTTCAATATTTGCCAGGAAAAACTCTGTGGCAACATAAGAATGTCCCCTTCAATTAAGTGCCTCTCTTTGACAACTTCAAAATCTGCTGCCTGTTTGTGTTCTTATCTGAGATCAAGACAATCAAACAGGAACGTAATGCATTATTAACTCGCTTGTGAAGAAACATTAGAGGAAACGCTGTTTGGCAACATGAGAACGTGTTCCCCATGTGTTTGCTGGGATGATTATCATCCTTTGTTTGTGTTTGTGTATCTGAGGATGATCTGAGACTTTTCTCAGCTCTGGGCTCTAAATTTAGTAAGCCTCCCTGGGAGAAAACGATCTCAATCGTAGTGACCAGTGAACATACGCTTCCGTCGCGTCTCTCGAGAGAGATCCGAGATCCCCGTTGAAAGGAATTACTCTTCCTGCACCTCAGGGAAACTGAAAGAAAGATTAGAGAAAGAATAGAAAATGAGGAAGAAGGGAAAAAAAGTAAAGATCAGCATGTATAAAGAGAAAAATAAAGGACCTTGACTTGTACATGTTTCGTACCATTTTTAAATATTTGCAGAAATTTTCCCCAGAGTATACATGTACAAATGGATACCGGCAGTCTTTAAATGGACTAGGGTACGGTGATCGAAATCATGCTCTTAAAAGTTTAGGTTCTTAATAAAAGCACAGCTAAAATATCTCCTTTTTAAAAACTTGTCAAGGTCATTTTTTGCTTCAAGATCCATAGTCCCAAATAATATTAAAGATGAAGTTGAGTTCTGGTCATGCGATTGCATTGTGAAAGAAACGGCGTGGAACCGACCAGAAAGGGTTGATCATCTAGCATATAAGAATTTGTGTGTATTGCAAGGCTCTGGAATCATCAAAATGATAAGAAATTTGGCCAAGTCTTAGTAAAGTTACAAACACTTGCACAGAAAGATGTATATGGGACTAAACGAACACGTGGCGTAAAAAGCCGGCCCCCCGATTTTTACGATGTTACATGCATATTTCGAATATGAAGGCATTTTAAGAGCCATGCTTTTCAGGGAACATGTCTTAACTAATGTTCTTCCACACTTGCATAATAAGAATGAGTAATGCTCACAAATTATTTTTCACCTCTTCCCAGAACTCAACCTTCTCTTTAAGTGCAATATTGCATGAACTCTCACAAATGTCATTTTGAGGTACACTAGGATTTCCAAAACAAGAATAAACATTGAAAATCATTAAATTGGCAAGTCATTCCTCTTTAAATGATCTGTTTTCCATTTTGATTGGCAGTTGAAGTCCCCCTTTTTTTAAATTTGATTCCACTGACGTTTTACTTTGATGCCATGAATATAATTGACTGTGTATTGGATTTGCATTGCAGTAAAAGAAAAAAATAAAGAAGAAAAATAACCAGCTTGTGAGAGAAAACATATAAGTATTGAAATATCAGAGTTACAACCTTTCAGATAAATACATTCTCATTTTGATAAACAGAATACTTAGTCATTAAAATAATTAAGTTTTTACCTGGAATCTTCATATTTTGAAAGAAAACTTTTGAAGAACAAAATGCTCTTGATTAAAACAAAAACAAGAATTTAAATTAATTACTATGCTCAAATATATTTGCAGTAAATCCAAGAAGAGTTCCTGTTGCTAAAAGAGAGTATTATTACACAGTTTATATGGTTATTGCTGTGGCTACATCAGTGACATAATGATGAAAGCAGTATGTAGATTTGCTCTGAATGCTGTGTATCTTGAGGGATGGTTGTTGTGTTTCTAACCAGTTGTCATGGCAATGCCTGCTGTCTCCTAGTCTACAAGCACAGACTCTAACCTGACACTTTTACCACAACTCCTACAGCCTTGAGCAGAGCCTAGCTCTGTCAGTCTATGGCTGTGCTTGCCTTGTCAGGGGCAGCTCTAGTACAGAGCCAATAGTGTGCAGTAGATGGTGCAGTCAGCTTAGTCTCACAGCGCAGACACTAGTGTACAACTGACGAGGGTTTGTGTTGTCTCTATCGACCCATTCACACTTGTAAATCCTGCATATCTCTGGAAAGATTGGATTCTGGCAGTTTGACAGCAGCATGATCTATCTGCTTCTACTCAGGTTACTCTTAACATCACAGGATGTCCAAATAATCACCAAGTTTTTGAGGAAATTGTTTGAGTCTCAGTATGCTTGTGTCAACTGGTAGCCGCTAGTCATGAGGTGATGCTGCTTTTAATAGTGTCCTGTAACAGTGAATGTTTCCTGATAACTTTAGTAGAAACTTTGTAGGAAGTTCTGTTTATTGGCAAATTGTTGCCCCACTTGCTTCCTTGGAATGGATTTCTAGCAGATGCAAAATTATGGCTATTGGATGACGAAAAGATCTGTTTGGAATGGCTCTCGCAACACAACCGATTTT